GTAACTTAAAGAATGATTCCAGTGAAGATGATACACGGGGCCGAACTGAGCAGATTGCCCCACGGGGTTTCTTATCGCAATTGAGAAAGAATGCTCTGAGAGAGGCCGAGCTGGAGACAGCAGGGCCATCTTTCAGGGAGGTAAAGGCCGAGGTGGACACAGTGTTGCAACGGAGGCTGGTCACTCACGGAGTACAGCAGGCGGAATCGGCATCACTCTCCTCTGCCGCAGTGGTATAAAACTGGAGCAGCTCGTCTTTCATCGACAGCTCGTGCCGCAGCTGGGAAACCTGCAGAGAGAGCAGCCCCACGCTGAGCTAACAAACTGAAGGTCACGTGCTGCTTCCTGGGACAGGCAGCACAAAGAGCCCCTCCTGCTGCTCATTTACATGCACCCTCTGGGCCTTGAGACGTCTCACAAACGACAGCGGTACCTGCAATTGCTCATTTGAAAGGTAGTCCACTATTCCAGGCCCAGCTCACCTCCTCTCGAATGTGCTCCACCTGCTCCTCCAGGTATTCATTTCGCTCTGTCAGAGTCTTGTTCTTCTTCAGCAGCGACTGACCGATCCTTGCAGCCAACTCCAAATCTCGCTCTTTCTGCAAAAGATTAAAAAAAATGAAAATAAAACTTTTCTCTTTCCTGAATAGAAATCAGGACTGGACACAGGACTTGGGACTATTCAGGAAGGGACATACTGGCTGCGTGAGGCGACTTTAACACTGGTGCTGCCTTTCTTTTGGCCACTAACTTAACAAGGGTGTGCATCTGCATTATCATGCTGTGACAGACGCCAGTGTCTGGTAGCTCATTGATGTGATGCTCCGGCCCAAGCCAGCTGAGCCCTTTGCCCAGACGGAAAGGGCTTAGAACTGTCTTACTGATGATTTTGTCGGGCTCAACACCATTCCAGAAGTACACTAGTCTACCTCCCAAAATAAGAGGCTTTAATTTTTACAGAAAGATACGCCTACTTCACGCTCTCAGAGAGGAGACGAAATATAACAGTGAGTTATAGTTTCACATTTTTTTCCTATAACCCTTCTGCAATATATTTAAAATTTTAAAATAATATGAATGACAGCCAAGCTACCTTTAAATATATTCAGATTCAATGTAAACTGTCCCGCCTGTGCAATTTTTATTGATGTTAAAAATTTAATAAATCTCTGACTGGACTGAATAAGACTTTAGGAGAGGATAAGCTCATAGACTATACAGCACGAACAAAAGGTTTTAGAATGTAAGACATATTGTATTTATTGTGCAAACTCATTGTACTCATGAGGCAAAATTTCTATTAGTTATTAGTCTATTAGTTAGACGCTTAAAACTATTTTAAAGTCATTATCTTAAACTCATTTTCTTTAGTAGCAGAACTATCGCCGAAATGCAAATGTCACAGGTGACCCAATTACAATACAGACCTGAAAAAGAGTGGGCTTAAATTCAAAACAGCACTGCGTTTCCAGATGTGATGCCATTCAAACTGAATATGAAATTGTTACTCTCGCACGCTTCAAGTATTTAATATTGAGCACTAGGCACTCGAGGTCCAGGCCCTCTACGTGGTAGTGCATTTTAATCGAGCACCCCCTGAGCTCCAACTGATTCCCATTCCCAATGGCACTATTTGAACCAATTCCTCACTCGTTATCAATAATGAGCTTGATCAGGCGTGAGGGCTTACGCAAAATGTATATTTAATATCAGATGGAACTGTGTTGTAAAGAAAAAAGGCAGTTTAACACACCCAACTCAGACGGATCACGATCAAGCAATATTCAGGTATAATAATTCTTAGGGAGCAGCCCTTCACAACAGTACTATTTCAAAGCGCAGAGTTCAGTACATACTCACTAACCTAAAAACAGAAGTGAAAGGTTATGCAAAGCTGAATACGGAGCCTGAAATGAACAATAGCAACCAGTCTTTGAAAACCAAAGCTTGTATAACAGCAAGACAGGCTAGGACAGCCATGGGAAACATTTCCTAGACTATAAACTAGGTCACTGTCTGCATGAGAGTATAAGAAGGTTACTGAGAGGCCACCTGGAGCGTCTGGTAGCTAGGAGTTAACTGAACCAAGGATCTCGTACAGACATTCATTGAAAGTATGGAACAAGCTGCCCAGCCATTAGTGTAGACACACCTGCTGTTCCAGTTTTAATGCTATATCAGTGCTTGTACACTATACTTGTAGAGTGCATTTGAGAAAAGGTGAAAAGTTTGTTTTTTAGACTTGTAGACCCCTATCCGTATTTGGAAGATATATTTATAAGAGAATATGCTGCATGACGTGGAAATGCTGGATATAAAAGTACAAATGTTAAGCATCAGCAAAAAGGCTTCAGACAGGATGTCACACTGTTAGTACAAGACCATGACACAGCGCCAATTCAAAAACAGTTGTTTTGGAACTTTTCATTTAGTTACTTTTGTCAAGGTGAGAGCAAACTATCAAACGACACCACTTGCCTGCATCGGCTTCATGGCTTCTGCCCACCTCCTTTAGCTCTTACCTCTTCAAGCAGACGTGTGACAGCATCTATGTCATTGTATGTTTTAGTCATCTGGCCCACTCTTTCAGCACATAGAACTGCAGGGAGAGAAGACAGGCTTGTTACTGCATTACTGCACAAGCAGCACTGTGACCAGAGGGAATCCTGCTGTAACTGGAACTAAAACATTATTATTTTAAATAACTACTTCATCAGTCTGGACCCTACATTTCAGTCTGTTGGCCCATCACCATGTTCCATAGCCACCAACCATAACAGATTCTTCCAAGACACCCCCCGGCACTCTGAGATCACTCCGCACACACAGCTAAACACTCACGACACTTTCTCTCTTTCATACTGAGGCATTTATTCCAAACATGATCGGCGCTTATAAAGGAGTCCCTGCTGTGGTAGAATTAATACAATTTTCCACTTAGTTCTTACTTTCTGAAACTCAACATTTTAAGATATACCCAAATAATTTCATTTTCATTAGATTTCAAACTCTTAAACACGAGAGATAAGCACTTGCAGGGAAATGAAGGCAGCACACAAGGGCCACACTCAAGTCGTCTTCTCTGAAACAGGAGCAGTATCTATTCACTAGCCTACTTAGCAGAATGGCCTCGAAATGAAACATAACTGGGACACTGATAAAGCTGAATAAGGTCAAAATACTTTAATATCCATGAAGTAAAAAAACATAGTAGCTAAAAACGACTGTTATCTAAAAATTTGACAAACCAAAAATCTAAGTACTGTCCAAGGCCTGTTTTATAGAGAATAATTTTATTCCAGCCATAATGCATAGTCAACTTGACAGAAGTATTCTTCTTTTGTATCATTTTCAAAAACATTTTAAAATAGTGCCCATTCAGGATATGAGGCAAAGAAAACAAAAGTCTCTTGTTAGATTCAAACAACTTGTAATCACTGGTGCAGTTTTCTAGCTCAGACAGAAGCAGCACCCTGGAGGAAGTGTATAATAATGCTACATCACAAGGCACGGACACTGTTGGAAACTGTATGCGAGTTGCTCGGAATCGGAAGTACAGCAAGCATGATGTTATGACTTCATACTAGATCCCCAGGAGTGAAGGTGAACCGTGCAAAAAGTGAAATTTGTAAACATCTCCCTTTGCATTTTACACGTCGATCACAGACACCTAATCTCAAGGTCAAACAGACAAGTGCTACTTAAAACACAGAGCTATTCGCCCTTGTTTGCTTACACTGTTACTTGTATCAGCTAATCCCATTGCTGGGATATAAGTGAGTATCTCATAAATCAAATGGGTAAATTTAAAATTTAAAAAGGAGAAAGACCTTGCTCACGTTTTGCCAGAAGCAAGGTGCTCTTTGTATACCAGTGATAACACAACTGCATGCCTCCGAACAGCTTGGGTTTTCTGCTTTTTACTTCAGTCAAAAACAACGTCACATTTTCAAAACCACAAAACACAAACTGAGACAGAGGACTATATAAAAAAAACATCCTAACAAATGTATACACAATATCTGATATCAATCCCCCTGAATTATAGGTTGCTGTTGCATCCAAGAAAAAATGGCAACACAGTGGATCTTTAATTTTCAAGAAGCAAAACTCAGTTTTGTACCATTTTTAGCCAAGAGCATAGAACCAGACTGGGAAGAAAGAAAAACAAAACAGGAAACCTATACTGCCTAGTTACTCACCCACAATACTTTGCATTCACTATACATCCTTTCATCCCACCGAAGCCCAGAGCTTATATCCAACAGAAAGAGATCCTCTTCAGCTACCACATAAACGTAGGGCCCAACTGGGTGAAGGGTAGCAGCCATTACAGAAAAGTGAGACATGGCTTCACTAATTCTATTACTTTAGGACGGTCAGGTTACACCAGCGCAGGAATGTCTCCAGAGCACCAGGGTGCAGTCGGGATGTTGGTTTAACTTTTTAAAATCCGAAGAACAGACCCTCCTACAGCCCAGTGTCCCCCACCACACCGGGGCATCGGGTATTGACACTCTGGTCCAGAGCAAATAGTGCCACCTACTGAACCACCACCAGTGCTTACAGCTGAACAGTAAGTGAACAGGCCCAGGCTTGCTAAGCTTTTGAAAGCTAATGGTACATTACAGTACCTACAATCACACATGAGTCCTGATGGGCCAATCTCTCCTACCTTCAACAGCCCCCCATTGCTCAACTCTACCTGAAAATGCTGACTTTCAGGTTCTGCAGAAGATGGTATCTTGCTTAGCTGGACTCAGGGACTTTAACCATGATGCCCCTCATGTCTGAAACACCCTTTCCCTCAGCCTTAAAAATTCTTAAATATTAGATGCATTCAAAACATAACAGTTGTTTTGCTTATGTTTTGTATAGACCTCTGGGATGAATGAAAGTTCATTGTTTCCATTTACTACAAATGGGGCATGAGGGGTGCCAGAAATATTCTCCTGCAGTCCACTTTTCCAATGTCGCCAGTAAGTAAAACACATTGCAATACAAACTGTTCTCCCTCATGTTTATGGGACATTTCTGATGCAAATGAAAATGAATGCTGTCCTATACAGGGAAGCCAAAGATCGGGAACATACCGCCTGGCTTTGCCCTTGTTTCAACTAGAATTGGTTAGGCCTGAATGACTTTTAAACTTAGTTTCTTTTTAAAACCCATCTGCTTTTTTTCTGCTTCTGCCTGATATTGGATGATCAGTTTCATTTCTCTAAAGATGTACTGTACACAGAGATATACTGTACAAAGCTGTGTAAAGCTCTCTACTCAGTGGAACACGTTTGTTTACCGTTAGTACAAATCATGATTAAATTCAAAATTGGGAACTAAAAATGAAGTCAAACAATGCATCGCTTCAGGTTTTAAACAAAGTACTGCTCATGTTTTACTGTAAGATTTCCAAGCCAAAATGATTGTGCAGTAAAATATTGTTGATGGAAAAATATATAAATGGGGGAAAATAGGAGACCACATGCATTACACTGAACATCAAGAGGAAGTTCAACCTGCTTTTTATGTGCCAGCCATGTGGAAACAATGTAAATCAGGCAAAATGCAAAACAGAAATTTCCATGGGCATCATGTCTCATGGTCAGACCTCTCAGACACATGAACAGTAAGAAGACTTCTAATAACAAATCAGCACACATGCGTTTGTGGAGTATGGATTCATGGTGACCATCAAAAGATCCGTAATCAGCGGGAAACATTTTTCATTATCTCTATCTGCCCTGTCTAATCTGATAATGCCCTGTTGGTTTTCTGTCAGGCAGAGTGATTAACATTTCCTACAAATATGAAAGTAAAGTGGGTGTAGGTCACTGATGAGGTTTATTTAATGACTCTACTAAACTCTTAGGTTTAGAGTTCAATCTTAATGTTAGATCGGGCGTAAAGTGTAATGTGTAGTGTAAACAGTGAACTCTTAAAATTTTAAGAGAGACATTTTGGTCGATATAAAAAAATACAGAAAGTTATTTTTCATGACAAGTAAAACCCATTCTCTTGAAAGTGCACAAGAATGACATGGTGCCGAATATTCCTTTAAAACAATACAAAGGCACAAAATGGGTTTTCTAAATCACACAAATTATTTCAGATGTCAGTGTAAAACAATGATTATCATTACGAAAACACCTGTCACCAACTGCACTAGTCCGACAGACAGATATGCTTGGTTCTTTGGAGCCTGAGTCAGATTAACACTAGCTGTTCATGCCCAGGAAACAATACACACATGACTAAACGGCACTGGATGAGTATTATTTAAATATTCAAATAATACAAATAAAAAAATGAATAAACATTTCAAAAAGCACTGAGTTCTCATTACTCAGATCATTGCCGTGTTTCTGTCTTATTCAGGCATCTGTCTGGAAACGCTTCCAAGAGCTCCAATCAATTCAACAGATTAGAGACAGATTTTCTCTTTGAGACAATGAACAGTACATTACAGGTAACCAGATAATGTAATAGAGGGGTCTGAGTGCCTCCCACATACAGTAACACAAAGCACAATGCAAGGACATCAGCCTGCACCATAAATGCTACTATTCCACTTCTTGAACCTGGCAAAACACAATCACAACTGAATTACTATGTACTGCAGTAAGCGTTTGTATGACAGGATTCCGCCTGCTGCGATTGCTCTCAGTCTTATTCACAGCGTAACACATTCACACGAGGCTCTGTCAGAAATGTAACTTGCCTATAGTCCCAAATCCCTTACAGCTAGAATTCAAAAGTAATTTGGTAAATCTTGTATCGCATATAGTGCAGAACATGCAGGTGAAATGCAATTCCTTTTTTAGGGCAGTATTCTGCTGCACACGTTAAAAAAATCAGATATGTTACATTTCTTTTCGGGCCATGAAGCATTTGTTGCACAAGATCTTTTAGTTTTAAGATTTCTTGCTCCAGCTGCACAGCTGTTCCTTATAGGATCCAAATACTACTTTGCAATGCTACCTATCGTGTCAGTTCTTCTTCCCATGTTAATCCTAGTCAGGAACAAAAGTGCTCATACAGCTGGTCTCATATGTCTTTTTATTGTATATTTTAGAATTTAATTTTTGAAAACAAAATGCATCATGTTAATATGAAGCATTATCAATACTTTTTAAATTCACCAAAAAGACAAGAAAACATAGCTGAATTTCAAGGTATTTGAAACTTTATAGAAAACTTTCACAGAAAATATTTTAATTAAGAGTACACATATGTCATTCTTAAATAATAATATGTAACTTAATTTATTTCTGTTAGGTGTAATTCAAATAAATAAAATAAGCCAAAGATCGGAAACATACCACATGGCTTTCCCCTTGTTTTAATTACAATTGGTCAGGCCTGAACGGCTTTTAAACTTAGTTTCTTTTTAAAACCCATCTGCTTTTTTTCTGCTTCTGCCTGACATTGGATGATCAGGTTCATTTCTCTAAAGGAAAAAGGCTCCTTTAATCACTAATGAATATAATAAAATAAAACAAATAATAATCAAATAATAAAACAAAGATATGTGATTAAATAAAATAAGCGAAAAGCCAAAATTTAATGATTAGAATAACTTCCAACCACTGAATGTAAAAT